TATATTTGACGCTTAGCGTATTGGATTGAGAAGAAAAGAAAAAAAAATGATGATAATATTTCTTCTCAATCGAATACGTCGCGGACTTGTTCACGTTCTGATTTCCCAGTATTTTGGGAAGCGGGGCGTGACAGGTTTTTGTTGGTGGCCCACGCAGGTCACGGTCCCGAGTTCTCACTAGTAAGAATGTATTGGACGATTCAAATACATATCATTTTCCATCCGTAAGACTACAATTAAGTTTTATATTATTATCTTAATAAACTATGTTTTAGTCCCTATTTTCCAAATATATTGTTTGATTTTAACATTAATTTTTCCTTTTGATCCTCGTTTCATTCAGAATTATGGTGGGTACTCGTAGTAATGGTAACCCATCCAGTGGCAATGGTCAGATGCCTGAAGCAGATCCGCAGCAGCTTTTAGCGATGATTCAGGGGCTGGTGACGAACCAGCAGTTCTTAGCTGGGCATTTGCAGCAGGAGCCTCAGCACCAGCATCCACCTCGCTCGGAGCCTGGTGTTAGAGAGTTTCGATATATGCGGCCTCCTTCCTTTACTGGTGCCGATGGACCTTTAGCAGCAGAGGAGTTCCTCAAGGTCACGGAGACTATCCTTACGGTGACTCGTATTCCCCCTGCAGAGTGGGTAGATCTCATGGATGTTCAGCTCACGGATACAGCTAGAATCTGGTGGGCTGCTAAGAAGACACACCTAGAGAGGCCGATTATGTGGGAAACGTTCACGGATCGCTTCAATAGGAAGTATTTTCCTCAGTCGGCCCGAGATGAGCTCCTGCGTAGATTTGTCGAGCTCAAGCAAGGGGGTCGCTCAGTCGACGAGTACGAGGCTGAGTTTTCTTCTTTGAGCCGATATGCTCCCCACTTGGTTACAGACCCTACGATTAGGAGGCATCAGTTTCAAAAGGGTCTGGACAAGTACATTAGGATGGCTCTAGCAGGTAGAGCTTTGGCGACCCATGATGCGGTGCTGGATGCAGCACGGGAGATTGAGAGCGTGCATAAGGAGCCTGAAGACTCACACGTGATTCAGAAGCAGGAACCAGTAGCTCCGGTCCGGAAGCGATGTCCGCTCCAAGGCGCCCAGCAGCAGAGCCCGCAGAGACAGCCAAGCATTCTCAGCTGTCAGCCGTTCCTCAGAGTCACCGTTTATCAGACGCCCTCGGAGTGCAGACTCACGGCGTTTTCGCCAAAAGTTGATTCTGTGGTCGAATTCATTATATCTTCGGTCGATTACAATAAATTCAAAGAAAACAGCCTTTTTATAAGACTCTTTTACACAACAAAAAGAAAATTACAACTCTTGAGAAAATAAACGCAGGATCGTTGTTTGGATCACTGCTTTCGTGGGATCTTTGCCTGTGCCGGGAGCGCTTTGACTCGTGGACCACCAAGTCACAGATTCTGATTGAACCGTGAGGGGTTTATGATTCTGACTTCGTTTATCGAAGTGAGAAATTGAAACGATATCTTATCGATGTAAGATAGTCGTTCTTCTTGAAATCAAGTCAAAGCTCAATTTCAAGGATTGGCCGTAAGATCAGCACCTCTGCTCTCTCTCTGCTCTGGATTGCTCTGAAGTACTCACAATGATCAGCCTCCTGTGAAAATGGCCTTCATGGGGTATTTATAACCCTCTGGATGAACAATGCTCGCGAGACAGCATTTGCTGTCTCGGCGGGCGAGACAGTGTTTGCTGTCTCGCTGGCCGAGACAGTGTTTGCTGTCTCGCCCAGCGAGACAGTAAATTTGCTGTCTCGCCCAGCGAGACAGTAAAATACTGTCTACATTTCTGGCAGTTTTCGATGTAACTGCTTTCCCACGTTTCAAACTCCGTTATTTTGGCAGTTATCCACGTGATTCTCGCCCACGACGTTTCCCACGTTCTTGAACAGTTAGTGGCCACGTGTAGGGCAGTTACAAAGGTAGTTTTGACCATCTGAAAGCTGTCTCACGTGCGAAAAGTTTTGAATTTGCCATTGTGAGATGTTTTGAGAAAAGTTTTCTCAAAAAATGTGCAACCAAACAGCCCCTTAGTCAAATTAAAAAAATGGAAAAGGAAATAAAAGAAACAAAAATAGCAAGTAGCAAATTCACGTTATAAGTGTTAGTATAGTGCACGAGGACATGCTTAATATTTTGAATTTTTTTATGAACTGAAAATGATAAGTGACTTTTATAACAATTATGGTGTAGTTTTTATATTTTTTTTTTTCTTAAATTTAATATATTGGCAATGAACTCCTCATTTGACATGGGTTGACATTTAATTTCATAATGGCCATAACTAGGGTAAGCACTTAATCATTTTATAATTGGCATGATTGAAAATTATCAAAATTGGAATTGCAAAAAAGTGGGACAAAAATATTGACATAAAAATTCCCTTTTTATATGCATGCGATATAGATTGGAAATTATCAAAATTGAAAGGGGCAAAAAACCGGATCAAAAAGTTTGGCATAAAAACCCTTTTCCCATGTGTAATATAATATAGACAAGGAAATAGATATAAATAGATATAGATTACACATTACATCCCAAATTTGTTTTATATAACTAGTATGTAACGTCTGCTTTGTACGTAATGCATATTAAGCAACGACATGAGGCTAAACATTCAAATGGAAATTAATTAACATTTATATGAGTTTTTTTCTCCCCGCAAATTCGCATACTTGTATAACTAATAGATTGATGGTTTTTTCCCATAAATGTGAGGTAAATTCAGTCGTAGATCTATTTGTTTCCTCGAAAGAAAAGTAAATATAATCTTCTCTCTCAATTATCACCTGTGAAATCTTGTTGAATGCGATGCATTCTGATTAATATAGTCGATAGACTCACTCCACTATCAAAATTCTCACTTCCTGCATTTTTTTCCTTTCGATTCTTTTGCTTGGTTTTTTTGGGTGCATTTGAGCATCTATAGATAATATAATTTTATGCAACTATTGAGGTCCAAGTGGAAGGAAGTAGATTAGTCCTGAAATAATTAGTGCATAATTAATTAAGATAATTTAACTAGTCGATCAGAGAATATACATAAACGTTTTAATTATGAGTTTATTTCTCACTATTATTCATTTTAAATGGATTGTTAGTAGGTTCAGAAGGGCGGATGCCATAAATTAATTTGTTAGTAGGATTTAATTATTATATTACAATTGTTTTTTATAGGACAAATCAAACTGAAAATCTAAAAGCACAACAAAAGAAGGTGGACAAATGTTGCTCATTATCGGAGTGCAAAATATTGTATAGAAACCTAAAATCACAAAAAAAAGTGTAAGACACATCCAAACTAAACTGGAAATCTAAAAATACGACAAAAAAATATGGATAAAACGCTGCTCTTATCAGACTACAGAATATTGTGCGAAAACGATAGTGGGTCTTCGAGTCATGCTATAAAATCATCAAATTTCTTAGCTCTTTGAACCAACACATGAGTCGTTACATTCCTCGTTTAACAAACTATCTGAAAATCCCATTCATTGAGTTATGTGCAACATCACTGAATATCATCCACAAAGTGTTTGAAAATCGAGTGTTGCTTCGCACCATTTTTGATATCTCTAATTACCACCTCCACATCTTTGAAAATTACCTTCCACATCTAGTGTCAAACAAATGTAATAACTTCCCACACCGCTTGGAATTGCGCACGCTCAAAATCACCTCTTATCCAAATATTATAATAAGTATATTACAATAGTTAGTAGTAATATATTATGATAGTTTTGTATGCTATTTCTAAACTAAGTACGCTAAGAGATTAACATTTATATTTATATTACTTTTCCTATCCCTAAGAGGTTAACATTTATATTTATATTAATATTTCTATCCATGAAATCTTCATATATCAGACACACATGTTAATATGTTATAGTATTAGATTAGATGTTAGATTTTTAATTAAATACTAAACTATCTTAAACTACAATATAATTTATAAATATAACTGATCATATTATTATCTTATATTAAAGTGGTATATTTATTGAATAATACCTGATATCTAAAGTGAAATATTTATCTTATTTAACACAAGACTACCATTTAAAATTTATAATATATTCACTGTACCTCATTAATGGAATTCCAATTGCAGATTCACTGTAGCTGTATAAAGAGTTGCTTTTGGTGGTTTTGTACCAAATGTTTTGGTAGTTGATCATAACTTGTGCTATAATTCTAATTTATGGTCACCTTGGTTGGAGTCTAGCTGGTAAACCCTTACTATTTGAACTTGCGACCATTGTTTTTTGATCTTTAGCCTTTCTTTACAAACTGACAATATGGTGTAATAGCTGCTTTTGTGTAGCTATGAGTTTAAAAGACATCTAAGCTTTTGCTTTAATGAAATTCTTATCAGCAACTCTAACATGTAGCTTATTGTAACAAGTCATCTGATTGAAAGTTTGTATGGTTTCATTTTCCAGTTATTACTATGGCGTTGTGGTGTTTGATTCAGTTGCTACTGCGAGCCACATTTATAAGAATCTTGATGGCACTGAGCTTCTAAGAACGTCAAATGTGTTCGACTTGCGATTCATTCCTGACTCTATGGAGTTTAAGCATCCTCCTCGTGACATGACAGCTGAGGTATTTATTTCTAAATAAAATATTATTTTAAATGGCCCGGTTTATGAGAATGATTTGATGTTAGAATTTAAAAATTAAGTAAGCTGTGTTTACTAAAATTGACATGTCTTAAGACTTCTAATAGAACTGGAAAGACGAACAATGATTTAGTTTCTGAAGATAACAACATTTTTGCAGTTTCTTTCTTGTTCCTTTTCTTCATAGCAGCTAAAGTTGCTTATCTCTCTGTATTGTCACATCATCTGACTTTTTCAAAAAGTATCTTGCCATATGAAAACGATCTTCGACATTTTTTGGGCATGGGAGCTGGAAACTTGTAGATAAATTAGGTTTGACTACAAAGTAATTTGATATTTGATCACCTGCAGATGCCACACAAACAGACACTTCAAGAGAAAGTGAATCTCCAACTTGTTTTGTGTATTTCATAAATTCAACACTGTATAGCAAAATAGTAAAGAGTAGGAATCTGTACGCATTTTACGGAAAGTAAATACTGTTGGCTTTATTATAGACCAACTTGAATTTCCCTTGAACTTTCAGTGAACTTTCTTCCCTTAGTGACCATCTGTGAAACTGAGCTCGGAATGGAGGTTGGCTCTCCAATTTAGTTTTCCATAGCGAGATAATTTTTGGTCTTGGTTGTCCTGAAAACAGAGGAAGAATTGTTGCCAGATTAATAAGAGATTTGGAAGGTTCCTGGGAATTTCTATAAGAAGCTAGTATACTGTGGTCTTTGAAAGCACCCTAGGGGGGACAATAGGATTTATGCTAATCTAATCCTATTTAATACAAATTAAAACTTATTAATAAATTATCCTAGCAAATAAGATATACAATAACTTATATACGCAAGGATATGTAAACTAATGGCACATAAACATGAGCAATGACAATATAGAATGAATGAACAATGAGCACAAATAAATACGTCAATGCAAACTCAAACAAGCGATATGATCACGGAGTTCGGTCCCCTCAACCTACGTCTCCGTTCCCTACTCCCGGGAAGAATCCACTATCACAACCGGGTTTTCGACGTTCACCCGGAAAACGTTTACACCACACAATATCAGTTTTCAACGTTCACCGATCAACGTTCACAATTACTCACAATACAACTACACAAATATCACCTCAAGTGTTGGCCTCTCATGTGTCTCCCTCAAGTGCTCAGAATTACTACATCTCACTAGGCTTTACTACCGACATCACTCCTCTTGGGACCGACCACGTCTCTCACATCTACACTCCTCTTGGTGTACAAGTGTAATACAATATGAATCACAAATAAAGCTCAATTACAAATAGTTAGTACTCTAAACAAGGATGAGAACTCAATTAAGCTCACACTCAAGAACCACTCACCATAACCCAAATTATACAATATATAAAATGCTAAAAGCTCTGTGTGTGTTCAAATGAGTGAAACGAAAACTAAACTCAATATAAAATCTAGCTTAATGAAAAGATAATCAACAATAATTATATGTAAAGCTAGAAATTGAGTTTAGAGAAACTTCTCTGAAAAACAAGAGTGAAAGAGATGAGAGATTGAAGCTCAAACACGAAATGATGATCTCTTCTTCCTCTTGTGAAAACCTCTTCACATAAACAATTGAAAACAAGCTTAAACAAACTTTAAACACCCTTAAACTTATTTTAAAAAATCTCTTAAATGATGAATAGAACTGAGGTATGAGGGGGTATATATAGGAAACCCCAAAGCTCAAGAAAAACCCAACAAAAGACAAAAATACCCAAAAACAGTGAAAGCTAGAAAAAACTAACCGTTGGTCCATCAGTCGACTGACGGGTTGCATCAGTCGACTGATGAGCTGACCGTTACAGGCAGTACACATCACATCAGTCGACTAAAAATCTCATCAGTCGACTGATAAACTCATCAGTCGACTGATAGTTCATCAGTCGTAAAAATAGAAACTTTTACAATTTTCAGACGATTTCTTCAGTTGGTTGATAAAATCCATCAGTCGACTGATAACAAGTTATCAGCCAGAAACAAACAGTAAATTTAATTTTTCAAACCTCTTTTAAAAATAGTAAATAAATTCTAAAAAATGTAAAACTTTGGGGAATGTTTATAAACATGAATATGAACATGTTGGAAAAGGAATTTTTCAAATTGCACTTCCCAATTGTGAAAACTCATGATTTTTCAAAACTAGTCCAAAACATGAAAACTAAACATACATGTTTTTAACATTTTGACTTAAACAATATTTTAAAACTTTATAAAATGATTTTATAAACTTAATAAAAGATATAAACTATTGTTGTTAAGTCTATAAACCAATTATTCAACATTTTCACAAATTCATATTTATGTAAACATGAAAACCAAAAACCAAAACTTGTATATATATATATATATATATATGAGAAACCAATAAAATGTGTGTATATGATATTAAGCTTAAAGTACTTAACACACATAATATAACAACCTCCAACAGATTGTTTGTCTAGAATAAATAAAAACACAAACACTAGACAAACAATATTAGTTGTAAATTGTTTGTTAAAACATCATCAAAACAAAAAAGCCAACAGTCTTTAGTTTTATGTTTAAAGAGATGAATTCGTGGTGTTTTTTTTTGCAATTTAGCTTGTATTAAATTTCTGATTAATTGTTTCCTTTCTCGTTAATAGTTGAAACACATTTCAAACTACATTTATTTTGAGATAGAAGCAAATTGATTATTCAGACTGTTACAATATGGAGAAAACATAAATGATATTTATCATTTGTATAATTCTATTGATGTATATATGGTTTGATGGTAATTCATTCTTCATGTACGACATTATTGTATATTTTTCTTTCTGGGTTGTTTTTTATTTCGGGCACAAAAATATTGATGACTTTTGGCAGATTACTACTTTCCATTTTACAATTTGTAATTTTTGTATTTTATTTCAACCCTTATTGCCTGCTTTATGAGACAGTTATTTTCCATTAAATATCTTGGTGATTCATTTTTCCGTTTCAGCCACCTACAAGCTACAACGTACCAGATTTCCATACTCGTGCTTTACAACACAGCAAGGTTAACTTAACATGGGAGGAAGATGAACCGAATCGTACAAAGTTTTTGAAACGGAAGTTCAACACTGATCAGGTTGGTAGTATTATGACCTTTCTAGTTGTATCCCAAATGTTTCTATTTAACCTTTTCATTACTTCAGCTCCTTCTGTTTTAACTCAATAAATTTAAGTCTTGTCAGGAATTATGATCTATGATACAATAATAAATCATGATTGTTGGTTGTGGACATGAGTGCCGTTTTGACACATAAATCGAGTATCAATCATGAAATATTTGATTAGTCTATAGCTCGGGCCAATATACATGGTCATTTGGGATTATCCCATTTATGCTATATATAGGTTTTTAATGCTTGCATATGAAAAATCAGAAGTCATGACTTAATGACATAGAAATTAATTTCGTGGTTTTTTAACATAAAAGGTGTGTGCTATTGACTTATAAATGATTTTTGATAAGACTGATTGATTACTAAATGTTTCCTGCATATCCTTCACGAAAAGGTAGATAGAGCACAACTAGTGGTTGGGCATTGTAAGCTGCATGAGCATGTGTGGTGTGTCAGGGACACAAGCATCCAAAATTTTTTCACTGGGAGAAGTCATTTCTGTTTCAGGTATTTGTATGTATGTTTGCATGATGCTTCTGCTGTTGGATTTAAATCTAATTAAATCTATTTGTGGACACATATGATTAATCAATGTGTATTACTATCTTTAAGGATAACCCACTTAAAGTGATCAATCAATTTGGGTTAATAGGTATTTAAATATATCATGGGGTTATATGTGCAGATACCAGGTTGTAATTGTAATTTGATGAAGGGGCCAAATTACAAATATACAACACCTATATATAAGGGGTTATGGTCCCTAATCTAGGGTTAACCACTCTCATTCTCTTATCCCCATCTAAAGAGATCCATAAGAGAGAAACCCTAAGGTTAGGGATTCAGGTATTGCTTCCGCTCTCATGTTTTTTAATCTCTATGAATTAATCACGAATAAAGTTCAGCAAGTGGTATCAGAGCCTATGTGATTAGTTCTTAGGGATTTAAGATTAAATTGGGTTTTTTGATCTAAATCAGTGATTTTTTTTTTTTTAAAGAACTGTACACGGATGAACAGTAGCAAAATTCTGTTTTTGCTTTCGTTTTCTGTGTTTTTTTGAGAACTGTCATATGAACAGTAAAGTTCACTTTTTGGGTTGTTTTTCTCCTTCGGTTTTTAAATCTGGATCAAACTCATGGATTCAGATTGAGAGAAAAACATCAATTTGTGGATTCAGTTTGGGGATTAAATTCAAACTTCAGTTTGATGATTCAATTTTGGGTTGTTGGATCTGATTTATGGATTAAGTTCGAAATTAAGAACAACAACAATTTCGGTTTAAGCCATCAGTCGCTTCTCTCCTCGCCGGCAATGATCGCTGGCGGCCACACTGTCAAAAGACAGCGGCGACGGCTGTGATTCAGTTACGAAACCCTAAGGGACGTGCGTGAAAACGTGCGGAAATTAAGGAGGAAGTTACCTCAATTTTAGGCGAGCTTCAGGGCTGGAAAGCTTCAGCGAAAATCGTGCTCAGCTTCAAACGAACCCACGTTCGTTCTCTAACGAATCTTACGTTCGTTCTCTAACGAATCTTGCGTTCGTCGAATCCTGCGTTCGTTGAACCCTGCGTTCGTTCCCAAAATCAAAAGCTGCGTTTGCTCTCAAATCAAACGCTGCGTTCGTTCTCAAACGAGCATTGCGTTCATTGGGTAAAAGAGGTTAGAAAATTACCTCGATCTCAGGCGAACTTAGGGTTCAGATCAGGCGAGCTCGATCTCATTTGTTGAAGGCGAGCTTTCAAATTGAACGCGAGCTCTCTCCTTTTGGCCTGCGGTTGGGAAAGATTGCAAGCGGGCTTGACCTTCGACTTCAGGGATGATCGATGCTTGTTAACAAGCATAGAAATTAGGTTTCATTCGAAGAAAAAAAAAAAAAAAAACTGCAGTGAACGAGCATCTATGGAACTCGTTCAATTTAGGGCACAGTCCATAGCATTGGGCCTTTAACTTAAGAATATTAAGGTCATGGGCCTCTGCTCCTTGGCCCACACAAGCCATTGTTTGTTTATGGGCATATGATTAACGTATGAGCTCATTCCTTGTGGGCTTATAATCATATTATGGGCATAAATTTATTTAAGTATAGTAATATCATTTTAAACTATGAGCCCTCATTAAGCTAGGGAGAATTTCAGTTAATTCAAATTAAATTGGTTAATTTGAATTAAAATTGGTAGTTAATCAATTACTTAATTCAAATTATTATGACACTAAGTTATTAAGTTTGTCCTTCATTCCAAATGATTAATTGAAACAAGATGTTGCCAAAGTAACCTCTCTTGTGTAAATTGTTCATGAGGGATGTTAGATGGTTGTGTGTATGTTTTCGTGTAAATATTTAATCGGCCCAAAGGAAGGTTAATATTTATTTTAGATTGCATACACATCTGCGATGATAATTACGTGACGATTTTAAGGTTTACATGTGGATAATGAATCGGTCCAAAGATAGTTTCATTATTTGACATGCGTTATTGTCAGTATTTGATCATTGCAACAAGGTATCACTTGCAATTAATATTACTGTCCAAAGACTTGATATTAATGTTGTACCAGATACCTTGAGATGGGATTTGTCATTATTTGAATTTATTGATTACTAATTAAGGTTAAAATCTTTTGTTCATTTCAGCTAATGCTTCTGCTGCAACAATTTCTGCTAACATCAACTCAATTCCCATGCTCAATGGGACTAATTTCAAGGTTTGGAAAGAGAATATTTTAATTGTTCTTGGCTGCATGGATTTAGACTTTGCATTAAGAACTGAACAACCCCAACCTCTCAATGCGGATAGCACTCCTGATGCTAAGAAGGAGTATGAGAAATGGGAGCGTTCAAATCGCATGAGTCTTATGATCATTAAGCGCGGTGTTCCGGAAGCCTTCAGGGGCATAGAATCCGAAGGGATTACTAAGGCTAAAGATTTCCTTGCCGAAATTGAGAAGCGTTTTGCGAAAAACGATAAGGTAGAAACAAGCACGCTTTTAGCTCGCTTGATTTCAATGAAGTATAAGGGCAAAGGAAATATCAGGGAGTACATTATGGAAATGTCTCATATTGCTTCAAAGCTTAAGGCACTTAAACTCGATCTTTGTGACGAGTTATTAGTGCATCTGGTTTTGTTGTCTCTTCCTGCACAGTTTAACCAATTTAAGGTCAGTTATAACTGTCAAAAGGAGAAATGGACTCTAAATGAGCTCATTTCATACTGTGTGCAAGAAGAAGACAGGTTGAAGCAAGATAAGACAGAAAGTGCTCATTTGGCCTATGCCTCTAAGGATAAGGGCAAGAAAAGGAAGAATGATAAGGAAGCTGCTAAGGGTCCAGTTGAGAAGAAACAACATAAGGATAATCAGGGTTGTTTCTTCTGTAAGAAGCCTGGACATGTAAAGAAGGACTGTACAAAATATCACGCCTGGCGTGATAATAAGGGTACGTTCCTTGCTTTGGTCTGTTCTGAGGTTAATTTAGCTTCAGTACCTAGAAACACTTGGTGGTTAGACTCTGGTGCTACTACTCACATAAGTGTTTCTATGCAGGGTTGCCTGAGCTACCGAAAGCCAAGTGATGTTGAAAGACACATCTTTGTGGGCGACGGACAATCGGTAGATGTGGAAGCAATTGGGCACTTTAGGTTGTTGTTAGGAACTGGTTATTATTTGGATTTAAAAGATACTTTTGTAGTACCGTCTTTTAGACGGAATTTGGTTTCTGTTTCTGTATTGGACAAATCAGGTTATTCTTGTTCATTTGGAAACAGTCAATTCAGTTTATCTTTTAATTCAAATGTTGTGGGAACCGGTTACTTGAGTATTTATGACAACCTATATTTGCTTGATACAATTGCTTCTTACAATGAATCCTTGCATGTGGAATCACGTGGTACTAAGCGTAAATTAAATAAGGAAAATTCGGCGACATTATGGCATAAGCGCTTAGGTCATATCTCAAAAGGTAGAGTTGAGCGTCTTGTGTCTGATGGCATTTTGGATTCCCTTGATTTTTCGGACTTCGACGTATGTGTTGAATGTATCAAGGGAAAACAGACCAAAGTGAAGAGATTAGGTGCCAACAGATCTTCGGATGTCTTAGAATTGATACATACGGATATTTGTGGGCCATTCCCTACGGAATCCTGGAATGGTCAACAATATTTTATATCATTCATAGACGATTACTCACGTTATGGGCACCTATATCTTATTCATGAAAAATCTGAGTCTCTGGACATGTTCAAAGCCTATAAAGCTGAAGTTGAGAATCAACTCAACAGAAGAATTAAAACCGTCAGATCTGATCGTGGTGGTGAGTACTACGGTAGATATGATGGTTCAGGTGAACAACGTCCAGGACCATTTGCTAGATACCTAGAGGAATGCGGTATCGTCCCACAGTACACTATGCCGGGTTCACCTAGCATGAATGGTGTAGCTGAAAGACGAAACAGGACTCTTAAGGATATGGTAAGAAGTATGATTGCTCATTCTTCTTTACCAGAGTCACTCTGGGGAGAAGCACTTAAGACAGCAGCTTACATTCTGAATAGAGTACCAAGTAAAGCAGTTGCTAAAACACCTTATGAGCTTTGGACTGGTCGAAAGCCCAGTTTAAAGCATTTACATATTTGGGGATGTCCAGCTGAGGCAAGGCCTTATAGGCCAAATGAAAAGAAATTGGACTCCAAAACAGTTAGCAGCTACTTTATTGGGTACCCTGATCGCTCTAGGGGCTATAAGTTTTATGATCCCACTATAAGGAATATTTTTGAGACGGGAACAGCAACATTCTTTGAGGATGTTGAGTTTGGGGGGAGAAATAAGGTTAGAGACATTAGTTTTGAGGAGGAATTGGCTTCAGATCCAATCCATACAGTTACTTTTGACAATATTCAGGTTCCTATACCTGTTGTTGCTCAAGAAGTAAATCCGGAACCTCAAGATGATAATGTTGAACAACTCCCTGTTCCAGAAGAACAAACTCAACAACCTCAAGAACCAGTGCCATTAAGGAGATCCACGAGAGAAAGGAGAAATGCTATTCCGGATGATTATATTGTATTTCTCCAAGAACATGAGGAAAGTAGTGGAATGTTAGAAGATGATCCAATCAACTTCTCTCAGGCCATGAAAAGTTCTAACTCTCAACAGTGGATTGATGCCATGAATGAAGAGTATAAGTCTATGCAAGACAATAAGGTTTGGGAACTTGTCCCATTGCCAGAAGGTGCAAAACCAATTGGTTGTAAATGGATTTTTAAAACCAAGCGGGATGCAAACGGTAATGTGGAGAGGTATAAGGCGCGTCTTGTGGCTAAAGGCTATACTCAAAAGGAAGGCATTGATTATACAGAGACTTTCTCTCCGGTTTCATCGAAAGACTCTTTCAGAATAATCATGGCACTTGTTGCTCATTATGATCTTGAGTTACATCAGATGGATGTTAAGACTGCATTTCTCAATGGAGACATTGATGAGATGATTTATATGGTGCAACCAGAAAACTTTGTGTCAGGAGACCCAAAGAATATGGTTTGCAAATTAAGGAAATCCATCTATGGACTCAAGCAAGCTCCTCGTCAATGGTATCATAAGTTTCAACAAATAGTTATCTCGTTCGGTTTTGAGATGAACATTGTTGATGACTGTGTATATCACAAGTTCAGTGGGAGTAAGTATATTTTTCTGGTTCTGTATGTGGATGACATCTTGCTTGCCACTAATGATATAGGCATGTTGCACGAAACCAAGAGATTTCTATCAAAGAATTTTGAGATGAAAGATCTTGGGGACGCCTCTTTTATATTAGGGATCCAGATACATCGAGATCGCTCTCGGGGTATTCTTGGATTATCACAAAAGAGCTATATCGATAAGGTACTTAAAAGGTTTGGCATGCAAGATTGCAGACCAGGTGACACCCCTGTTGCTAAAGGAGACAAGTTTAGTCTCAATCAGTGCCCTAAAGGTAACCTTGAAATTCAGGAAATGCAGAAGATTCCTTATGCTTCGGCTGTAGGAAGTCTAATGTATGCTCAGGTATGTACGCGTCCGGATATTGCGTACATTGTTGGGATGTTAGGCAGATACTTAAGCAACCCTGGTATGGATCATTGGATAGCAGTCAAAAGGGTTATGAGGTATCTTCAGAAAACAAAAGATTACATGCTCACATACAGAAAATCAGAGAAATTAGAGGTCATTGGGTATTCGGACTCTGATTTTGCTGGATGCCAAGATAGCAGGAAGTCTACATCAGGCTACATTTATATGTTAGCAGGAGGAGCTATATCATGGAAAAGTGTCAAACAAACACTAGTAGCTTCCTCCACTATGGCAGCAGAATTTGTAGCTTGCTATGAGGCATCCAATCAGGGAATATGGCTGCGAAATTTTGTCACGGGACTGCGCATTTTGGAAAATGTTGAAAGACCACTAAGGCTATATTGTGACAATAAATCTGCAGTAATGTATTCCAATAACAACAGGAGCTCAACTAAGTCAAAACATATTGACATTAAGTTCCTGGTTGTGAAAGAAAGGGTACAGAGTGGACAGATATCCATAGAGCACATTGGGACAAACTCCATGATAGCTGATCCTCTTACTAAGGGATTGCCACCTAAGGTCTTTCATGAGCATACTGCTCATATGGGTGTGGTATTATTTGAGGATATTATGTTTTAGTGGGAGTTTGTATTTGTGGTGCTTTATGTTTGTTTGTATTGTCTGATCAGAATAAAGTTTTCAGTTAAGACACTCTGTTACATTATGTTTGGTTTTGACCTCACTAAGGAGGACCAGTTGAAAATAGACATGTACTGATCACATTGCATGTAATTTTCATGCTGCACATCCATGATTGATCTATGTCGTTTGATTGTATTGGTATATGTGACCATTGATGGGTCGAGTCACGATAAATGTGACGAAGGCCGCTTTGATCCTATATTGATATAGTCAATGGACGAGATTGTTTGGAAATATCTTTTTAATGATAGCAATTTTGAGCTCATAAGGTTATACACAATTTAAGGAATCATATGGTGCCCAAGTGGGAGATTGTTGGATTTAAATCTAATTAAATCTATTTGTGGGCACATATGATTAATCAATGTGTATTACTATCTTTAAGGATAACCCACTTAAAGTGATCAATCAATTTGGGTTAATAGGTATTTAAATATATCATGGGGTTATATGTGCAGATACCAGGTTGTAATTGTAATTTGATGAAGGGGCCAAATTACAAATATACAACACCTATATATAAGGGGTTATGGTCCCTAATCTAGGGTTAACATTCTCCATTCTCTTAATCCCCATCTAAAGAGATTCTAAAGGAGAGACCCTCAAGATTAGAAGATCAAACCCTAATTCAGATCCATTCATATTTATCATGGATTCAGGTATTGCTTCCGCTCTCATGTTTTTTAATCTCTATGAATTAATCACGAATAAAGTTCAGCATCTGCATGCTTGTGCCTTTATTTGTTTTGCTCATTTTCAAAACTAGTTATCCTTAAAGATGTTTTGAGGTTTTCTTTTACTCATTTTACAGTTAATTCGATCATATGATCTGTTGGAATGTAGATATTCAGTTGTGACTAGTTGTACCTATAAGCTTTTTTTGTGAGCTTACATCGCGAGTCTTAGTAGAACTGAAGATTACCGGTTCTATTATCGTAGCGGTTTTCTATTTATAAAACTTCTGAAATAAAGCTGCTTCATGAGTATCATTTTAAAGGGCTTTTTTACTTTTAATCTAGCAAAAGGAATATCCATGTTTTATGCTGTTACTGATGTATCCTTCTTTATCTCGTATAGCTGGATGAGTTGAATGAATACTTGGCTTCCAGTGATAGTGATGCTAGTGACGAGGAAGAAGAAATTGATGGCAGTGAGAATGAAGATGCAGGGGCTCTGCCTGATGGTAAATCCAAAAAACATATGCATAAAGAAAAGTTACGAGCGCTTCTACTCTCTGGAGATGGCTCTGGTTCAGATAAAGATGATGATGAGGACAATGACCAAGAAATGGAAATCACATTTAATACTGGCCTTGAGGACCTAAGCAAGCGCATTCTCGAGAAAAAGGATAAAAAATCCGAAACTGTCTGGGAACAAGTTCTTCGAAAAAGAAGCGAGAAGAGAAAGGCAAGGAAGAATCGGTCAAAGTACTCTGATGATGATGATGATGACAGTGATTCCGATGTCCAAGAAGCAACTGATCAGCCTGATGATTTCTTTATGGAAGAAGAGCCTTCTGATTCTGATGCAGAGGTTGCCGATAAGAAGAAGGGAGATTCAAAAAAGAGTAAAAAAGGTAAGAGTAGTAGAAAAGAGAGGAAGAAGTCTCTGGATGAATACAAGGACCAGGAAGTGAGTAAAGCAGAACTGGAGCTGTTGTTCGCGGAAGATCAAGATGGTAAAGGTCAGAATGCAAAGGGGTACAAGATCAAACTTAAGAAGGGCAAAGGAAAGAAGGGGAAGGAAGAATCTCTTGAGGCTAAGTTACCTGATGTTGATCCCTCATCTGATCCTCGATTCTCTGCCTTATTCAATTCTCATCTCTTTGCCTTGGATCCCACTGATCCACAGTTTAAGAGGTATAGTCTTGAAGTCCTCAGTTTTAAAACGATGCTTGATTCCACATCTAACCTAATAAAATTGGAGCACACCACTGTTTTGAATCGCTGTCTTCTATCTATCTATATTAGGTGATTGTGATTCATTTCAAATCTAACATTTACCAAGTCTTCCTGTTATTTGTTCCACTTATTACTTTGTAGATTAGGCTCCCAAATCTTTGTTGATTCTTTATTCGACTCTAAATCTGCATATCAGAACCCCAAATCCATTAAGTTGTTTTTAGGTAAGACCCCTAAATCTGAAGTTGTTTTGAACATGACCCTCACATCTATTAAGTTTTGTTAAATAGACCCACATGTACTTCAGAAATATGAAGTTTCTTGTGGGTCTAATATAGAATTAACAAAAATTTGAGTGACAAATTACTTTTTGTTTAAGTGAGTTGCAAATTACAATCGTCTCATAAGCAATATATGTCTAGATTAAAAGTACAGATTCCTCACGGTGGAAATGATTCAAACCCACATCTCATTGCCATTTGAATTCATATTGAAACCTACTCTCCTTTTTCTGCGCTTCCACAGGAGTGCTGCGTATGCTCGTCAGAAGCTTGGAAAACAGAAGATAGTGAAGAAAACAGGGCAATCAGAAGAAACCGCAAATGTACCGGAACAAGTTGAGATCTCTAATAACGATCCGAAGAAGAAGGAGAAGTACGAGTTGTCATCAACTGTTCAGTCACTTAAGAGAAACCTGGGAAATCTGAAAAAGGGTACCAGGAGCAGATGATTTTCTTTATTTTTGTACCTTCATCTTATACTGGCTGTGAAGAATTTTGTTAGCTTCGTAGTATTTTATTTCCGGCCTGTTATTTATGCTGTTGTGAGATGCGGCTGCTTTAGTAGAGGAAAATTGAGAGCAGGGAAAAAAAAAAGAGAGGCTCGGGTTATGTTTTTCTGAGTACAAAATACAGGGTGCGTGACTGATTTTGTACTATGTTATTATTGTACTCAAGCGTGTATTTGTGAATTGTTATTGACACCCATTTCTATTTTTCAAAGATACTTCAATGGTGTATATTTAAGGTAGAATAACACGTAGGGTATATTTATCTTCTTCTTACGTTGAACTTCTTACAAACTAGAAAGAGATTTTACTATTTGACGACCCTTTTCAAAGAACAAAGATACTTCTTCACAAGGATTGATGCGAGGTGGCACCAGGTAATTCGAATAACAAATGTATTTACAACACGGTACGGTTCCGACCGCTTTGTTGAAATGCTTTTCTATTTGAACTTAGTAGTAACTCGGCTTTGTTACACAAAATAGACTAAAATTGGGCCCGGTGGGATCAATTTTGACTAGGTTTTGAAAGCTAAAAATGACATAAGAAAACACAAAATAGACTAAAATTGGGCCGGATTTGAACATGTCCCAGTTTTAGCGAGTTGTCAAACAATAACTCCTACGTGTTTGTGTTAAAGGTTGTTGTAGTAACAAATGTATACACCAGTAGCTGCATCTCAAATTGCTGTATCTAAGTGTTGTTGCAACTAAAATGTAGTTATAACACACTAAAATTTTAGTGTGAATGCAACACCCATATTTTTAGCAATATTTTAGAGTTACAATAATATTTTTGTGTTGGAACTACATCTAACCAAATACTAATAGATATAGTTGGAACAACTACATCAATCCAAACCCATTCATGATGTTGCAACTACATTTGTAGTTTCAACGCCCTTAACCTAAACCAACCCCACTTTAAAGAGGAGCTTCTGTTTGGTTAAAAAAAATTTCTCTTGAAAACCTGCCAAAGTGTCACTTCTTTGGCAGACTTTAAGCAAAAACGCCTTTAAAAAAAAGAATTTTGCTTGAAAAAAAAGGATTTTGCTTGAAAACATGTCAAAAAGTGACACTTTTGACACGTTTAATAGGCTTTTAACAGTGACTTTCCCTCAATAACAGGGAACCAAACAGCTACTTATGACGGGCAATGTTTTTGGACCCAATTATAGTATGGACCTGCAAGGACTTCATTAATGCAGCACAAACAACAACCAAAAGTATAGACTACGTGGCTCTGTTTAATGGCCGACGTTTCTCCCACCGTCACGCAACCAGCATGCGCTCGGTTCGTACCGAGCAGGGCCCCACCGACCAAAAAGCAAAGCCCAAGCCCGTTTCTAAAAAGAACGCCAAATCAACGATCCGCGGTCGGCCACGTCACTATCGGCCATTTATTCGCACCTGAAAGCGGCAGGACTCGGCGTCAACACGCATTCCTCGGTTCCTTTCTTCTGTGCTGTAATTTTTGGGCGGCCCCGTCATCACACGAATAAAGCAAAAAAAAAAAAAAAAAAAAATTCACGAAAAGAAGAAGAGCTTTGCATACTAACCGCTGGCAATTCCATTTTTGCGAAAAATGTCGTGTGCTCGCACATTACCGACATAGTTTAGCTTATAATTGAGTAGATTTGATGGGTGTCTTTTTCATCTTACAATCTGATGCGATGCAACCATGAATCAAGCATTTGCTCGCGATTGTCACATGCAAATCCTATCAGCACAGCCTACACGCAAATGTGACGTCTTTGTCAATTGCTCATTGTTTATATTGCCCACTATCTTATTTATGATTATTTCACCCTTGTGTTAGTTTATATATCCTTGCATATATTTCACCATATACCTCTTTGTTAGGATATATATCTCTTTGTTCATATCACTTATCCTTGCATATATCTTGTTGTATATCATACTTGTTAGAATAATTTGTTAATAAGTTTTAATTAGCATTTAAATCGGATTAGATTATCATAAACCCTATTCACCCCCCTCTAGGGTTCTTTCCTAGTGGCATTAGGGTCTAACAGTTAACATTTATATATATTTATATTAATTTTCCTATCCCTAAGAGGTTAACATTTATATTTATATTAATATTCCTATCCATGAAATTTTCATATATCAGACACACATATTAATATGTTATAGTATTAGATTAGATGTTAGATTTTTAATTAAATATTATATTATCTTAAACTACAATATAATTTATAAATATAACCGATCATATTATTATCTTAAATATTAAAGTGGTATATTTATTGAATAATACCTGATATCTAAAGTGAAATATTTATCTTATTTAACATAAGACTAACATGGTTAAAATTTATAATATATATTAGTTCTTTTGTTTATTTCAAGAATAATTATAGTGTAATAAATAGAACGTGAATAAAATTAAAGGAATACGATTAAATTTTATAATATGTATTTAGTTTTGGTGTAGTTTTATAAACACTAAGATTTTGATATAGTTCTGCAAATACGCATAATTTAAGGGGTATACATACAAAAGTCACTGTGAAATTTGGATCCTTTAATCTAAACCCGAAATCATGTCCGGGTCCGTGATCAGCCTATTCGACCCGAAACCCGCTTCTACCTCCAGTTCCCATCCCTAAAACCCTCATCTCAAATCTGCCGCCTCCTCATTCCGCGATGGCCACCGCCGACGACGACAAGAGAAAGAGAAAGAACAACGAACACAAGAAGAAGAAGAACGATCCTCAAGAGATCGAACCAGAAGAAAAGACAAAGAAAAACAAGAAGCGGAAGCTTCAACAGAACCAGAATGAAGACGCGGGACCGGACCACGGCAAGCCTAGGGCAAAGCAAGATAACCGAAGGAAGCACGGCCGGGACAAGCACGCCGTCGTCACTGACGAGCGGTTCGCGTCGATCCGCGGTTCCAGCGGGTGCCGAAGAAGGAATCGAAGGTGGCGATCGACTCTCGATTCGCGAAGATGTTGTCGGATAAAAGTTTCGATTCGTCGTCGGCGCCTGTTGATAAGAGAGGGAAACCGAAGAAGGAGAAGGAGGTGAATCCTTTGACGCGTTATTATCATAACGAGGAAGAGGAGAGAGAAGAGGAGGAGGAGGAGGATGAAGAGAGAGAAAGTGGATCGGAGGTCGAAGTTTCAGAGGGGGAGAGTTCGTCGACTGATGATGAGGATGAGTATGATTTCGACGACGAAGAGGTGAAGATTTTGTTTGTTTGCTTGACATTTGATATGTTTTTAGCTTCTCTTTTTATCGCTGTTTTCTGAATATTGAAGTGAAGTGTAAGATATCCGTCAAAGAAATGTACCATGAGTGTTTTAAACCAAAACATGTGTTATATAATTGGGCACACATATGCATAAATGTATGTATATACTCAAGAAGTGATCAAGGAGTGTCCGACACGGACATGGGAAGTGTCGGACACGGATACGGGAAGTGTCAGACATGGATACAGGAGCCAAGATGAAGTGTCTTGGTAACATAGCCTTCCACTCATCATATCATGCTTATAAAAATTTGTGTGGCAGTCTGATACTGGCCTTCTTCTTCTTCTAGTTGTTTTAAAATTTTGTTGGAACTTCTAATGCTATATCCTCTTTCTGGAAGTTATCTGCTAATATGTCTATCTTATGATATTTTTCATGCAAAAGGTGACTTGGTTATCTGTTTGGTTTAGAATTTTTTTCATTGTTTAAGTGAATTCGTTTTACGTGTTTTAACAGGACATAGTACAAAGCGATATTGCTACTTATCTGATGGCAGGCCATGAGGATACATCATTAACATTAACTGAACAAGAGACTAACAGACTTGCAGTTGTTAATATGGACTGGGATCATATAAAGGTTTGTATGCCTCTCAGACCGTTATTGATGTGATCGTAGCAATGACTGTTGAAAGTATGAAGTTACACATCATCTTATTGGCTATTCACACTAAACTAAGATTATTTGCCTTTCTTTGTAGGCTGTTGATCTGTATGTAACAATAAGTTCATGCCTCCCGAAAGGTGGACAGATTCTGTCGGTGAGTATTTATCCATCTGAATTTGGTCTTAAGTGCATGGAGGTTGAGGCAGTTCGTGGCCCATCTGCTCTGATCAATAACAATGAAGAACATAGCGAAGATGAATCGGAGAGTGAAGATGAAAACGTACGTAATGAAAAACTACGAACATATGAGTTGAATAAATTAAGGTAATTGTCTAAAATCATTACTTTAGTTAAATTTTCTCTGCTTATACTTTTATGCAGAAAACCGTTATTCTTGTAAGTCAGAGTATAGCCGTTTTCACGCAAATATATAATGATTACTGTCTAATTCTGAGGGCCCATCCTTCAGTTAATTTGTATGCTTTTTAATTCTCTGACACGTGGGAGCTTCTTAATTGGATTTGTATTTCGTCTTCATTATTTTTGAAGAAATATGATATTAACTTGAACATTCAGCACGTTAGAAGTTCAATATTATTTGTCAATGTTGTGAGATTTCTTTCTATAGTGTTCTCTTAACTTCCATTTTACTGGATTTATACTATTTTTTTCAGTGAAATAATTTGAACTCATTTGGGTATAAGTTGATTTGTTTATTTCAAAGCCAGAGAACATCACTTGAATATTTTGTTTCACATCCTGGCTGTTAGGGGTGGAAATGAACCAAATAATTAACAAATAGTTCGACAATTGTTCGAATAAGTATTCGGTCATATTCGATTCGTAGTTCATTTACCATTAAACAAATATTTTTTAGTATTCGAGTTTTCTAACAAATAGAATTTAACCAGATGTATATTCGATTCGTTTGTCTATTAAATATTCGTTTAAAATTGATCACAATTTATTACTTGTATTATTGCACATATGATGTCATATTTTTAACCCACATACCATTTCTACTTAAGTTTTATATACCGATTTTAAGATTTAAATAATCTTAAATCTGTTTTCTAATTAAAATTTTAATTTAAATATATATACATCATATATTATAAAGGAATACATTTTATTTATGAATTCTAATACTATTTGAAAATCAAATTCTTTAGCGGTATAAATATACTTTGATATTCGATAAGTATTCGTGAATATTCATGAATATTTATCAAATACCAAGTATTCGAGTTCGAATTCGAAAAACTAGATATATGAATATTAGAGTTCACATTCGAATTCGATAATTTTAAACAAATACAAATACGAACACCTTAGTATTCGATTCGATTCGATCGTTTACCACCCCTACTGGCTGTTATACGTCATCCTGCGATTTTCCTCAGGGGCGGAGCCAGGTTTTTCATTCAGATCGGGCACAGTATCATATGATTAATTAGAGAATAATTAACTAGAGCAATATAAATTTTATGTAGATTAAATTTTCATCATAAATGGCAATAGCAACCAGAAAAATATTTACGATTCTAAAAAAACCAGAAAAATATTTTTAAATATTTAAATAAATTTAAATACACTTAGTTGTCTAAAAGTTGTCTAAAAGAAGAACACTATGAATTAATCCAAGAAAGAATCGAAGTTGATGATGCAAATTGCGTAGGAGATGATTGAATATTTAATATTTAATATTGATTTTTAGATGATAAAAATTTCAATAGTTTGGCTTTGTTTATAGTGATTATTATGATTTAAATGAGATTAGGCAAGTAGAAATTAGTTGGTTGTCATTAAATACCACATTAGAATTGAATGACCGTGATATGCATATAATATAACAATGGTAAGATAGGAAAGTTTACGTGAGAGTCAATTAGACAGAATTTAAGGTGGGTCCCATCTCTTTAATATGGGGTGTAATATTGCATTCAAACTAATTACCAAAATGACTTTGCCAAATCTCAGGTTGGGCACTTGCCCAGCTTGAGAAATATGTGCGTTTGCCCCTGATTTTCCTCCTACATACTTGGTTCCTCAGGACTACCCTAAAAATAAGTTGAAATTTTGCTATAAAAAATACAAGAAAAAAAGTCCTACTGGAAGGGATTCAAGGAGATTTGATGGTGCAGACTTGGCTTCTTAATTAGGCACAACATGATAAATTAATCTCAAACAATTTCCTCATTAATGGAATTCCAATTGCAGATAAATTAATCTCAAACCATTTCCTCATTAATGGAATTCCAATTGCAGATTCACTGTAGCTGTATAAAGTTTTGCTTTTGGTGGTTTTGTATCAAATGTTTTGGTAGTTGATCATAACTTGTGCTATAATTCTAATTTATGGTCACCTTGGTTGGAGTCTAGCTGGTAAACCTTTACTATTTGAACTTGCAACCATTGTTTTTTGATCTTTAGCCTTTCTTTACAAACTGACAATATGGTGTAATAGCTGCTTTTGTGTAGCTATGAGTTTAAAAGACATCTAAGCTTTTGCTTTAATGAAATTCTTATCAGAAACTCTTAACATGTAGCTTATTGTAACAAGTCATCTGATTGAAAGTTTGTATGGTTTCATTTTCCAGTTATTACTATGGCGTTGTGGTGTTTGATTCAGTTGCTACTGCGAGCCACATTTATAAGAATCTTGATGGCACTGAGCTTCTAAGAACGTCAAATGTGTTTGACTTGCGATTCATTCCTGACTCTATGGAGTTTAAGCATCCTCCTCGTGACATGACAGCTGAGGTATTTGTTTCTAAATAAAATGCTATTTTAAATGGGCCGGTTTATGAGAATGATTTGATGTTAGAATTTAAAAATTAAGTAAGCTGTGTTTACTAAAATTGACATGTCTTAAGACTTCTAATAGAACTGGAAAGACGAACAATGATTTAGTTTCTGAAGATAACAACATTTTTGCAGTTTCTTTCTTGTTCCTTTTCTTCATAGCAGCTAAAGTTGCTTATCTCTCTGTATTGTCACATCATCTGACTTTTTCAAAAAGTATATTGCCATATGAAAACGATCTTCGACATTTTTTGGGCATGGGAGCTGGAAACTTGTAGATAAATTAGGTTTGACTACAAAGTAATTTGATATTTGATCACCTGCAGATGCCACACAAACAGACACTTCAAGAGAAAGTGAATCTCCAACTTGTTTTGTGTATTTCATAAATTCAACACTTTATAGCAAAATAGTAAAGAGTAGGAATCTGTACGCATTTTACTGAAAGTAAATACTGTTGGCTTTATTATAGACCAACTTGAATTTCCCTTGAACTTTCAGTGAACTTTCTTCCCTTAGTGACCATCTGTGAAACTGAGCTCGGAATGGAGGTTGGCTCTCCAATTTAGTTTTCCATAGCGAGATAATTTTTGGACTTGGTTGTCCTGAAAACAGAGGAAGAATTGTTGCCAGATTAATAAGAGATTTGGAAGGTTCCTGGGAATTTCTATAAGAAGCTAGTATACTGTGGTCTTTGAAAGCACCCTAGGGGGGACAATAGGATTTATGCTAATCTAATCCTATTTAATACCAATTAAAACTTATTAACAAATTATCCTAGCAAATAAGATAAACAATAACTTATATGCGCAAGGATATGTAAACTACGGGCACATAAACATGAGCAATGACAATATAGAATGAATGAACAATGAGTACAAATAAATACGTCAATGCAAACTCAAACAAGCGATATGATCACGGAGTTCGGTCCCCTCAACCTACGTCTCCGCTCCCCACTCCCGGGAAGAATCCACTATCACAACCGGGTTTTCGACGTTCACCCGAAAAACGTTTACATCACACAGTATCGGTTTTCAACGCTCACCGATCAACATTCACAATTACTCACAATGCAACTACACAAATATCACCTCAAGTGTTGGCCTCTCACGTGTCTCCCTCAAGTGCTCAGAATTACTACATCTCACTAGGTTTTACTACCGACGTCACTCCTCTTGGGACCGACCACGTCTCTCACATCTACACTCCTCTTGGTGTACAAGTGTAATACAATGTGAATCATAAATAAAGCTCAATTACAAATAGTTTGTACTCTAAACAAGGATGAGAACTCAATTAAACTCACACTCAAGAACCACTCACCACAACCCAAATTATACAATGTATAAAATACTAAAAGCTCTGTGTGTGTTCAAATGAGTGAAATAAAAACTAAACTCAATATAAAATCTAGCTTAATGAAAACATAATCAGCAATAATTATATGTAAAGCTAGAAATTGAGTTTAGAGAAACTTCTTTGAAAAACAAGAGTGAAAGAGATGAGAGATTGAAGCTCAAACACGAAATGATGATCTCTTCTTCCTCTTGTGAAAACCTCTTCACATAAACAATTGAAAACAAGCTTAAACAAACTTTAAACACCCTTAAACTTGTTTTAAAAACTCTCTTAAATGATGAATAGAACTGAGGTATGAGGGGGTATATATAGGAAACCCCAAAGCTCAAGAAAAACCCAACAAAAGACAAAAATACCCAAAACAGTGAAAGCTAGAAAAAACTAGCCGTTGGGCCATCAGTCGACTGACGGGTTGCATCAGTCGACTGATGAGCTGACCGTTACAGGCAGTACACAGCATATCAGTCGACTAAAGACCTCATTAGTCGACTGATAAACTCATCAGTCGACTGATAGTTCATCAGTCGACTGATAGTTCATCAATCGCAAAAACAGAAACTTTTATAATTTTCAGACGATTTCTTCAGTTGGTTGATAAAATCCATCAGTCGACTGATAACAAGTTATCAGCCAGAAACAAACATTAAATTTAAATTTTCAAACCTCTTTTAAAATAGTAAATAAATTCTAAAAAATGTAAAACTTTGGGGAATGCTTATAAACATGAATATGAACATGTTGAAAAAGGAATTTTTCAAATTGCACTTCCCAATTATGAAAACTCATGATTTTTTAAAACTAGTCCAAAACATGAAAACTAAACATACATGTTTTTAACATTTTGACTTAAACAATATTTTAAAACTTTATAAAATGATTTTATAGACTTAATAAAAGATATAAACTATTGTTGTTAAGTCTATAAACCAATTATTCAACATTTTCACAAATTCATATTTATGTAAACATGAAAACCAAAAACCAAAACTTGTATATATATATATATATATATATTATATATATATATATATATATATATATATATAATATATTATATATATATATAATATAATAGGAGTAATATAGCAAAACTTGGCGTAAACTTATATAGTGGACGCCACTAAGTTTCTTATCCATTTGATGATACTTGATTGAGCTATATTGTTGGATGATCGCTTCGGTTAAACTTGATCTACATATTCTAAAAACCCAACACACCGACAATTTGGTGTGAGCTCGTTGTGGTTTGACCCTAGCGTGCGAGATGTAAAAAGTTCTATTCACTCGAAACCGTTAAAATTGACACGAGTGATGAAGGGTCAAACTAGACGGGTTCACCTCAAATTTGTGTGTTTGAGGTTTTAGAATATGTAGATCAAGTTGAACGGAACGGATCATCCACAATGTAGCTCAATCAAGTGATCATCAATGGATAAGAAACTTGTGACGTCGCACTTAAGTTGACAGAAGTTTTACTCTCTCTCTCTCTCTCTATCGTCTCTATATATATATATATATATATATATATATATATATATATATATATATATAGAGAGAGAGAGAGAGAGAGAGAGAGAGAAACCAATATTTGTATGTGTGTACGTGATTGAGCTTGAAGTATCTACACACAAGTATAAACCTAAACTAAATTACCCAAGCTTGAATGTCTTCAATATAGCTCATCTTGGTAAACTTTGCGGATGAAGCTTGATCTTGAATATGACTTAAATTGTGTAATGGTTTCATACCGATATTTCCTTCCATCCTCCAATGGATATGATCGTGAAAGCTCTAGACCATCCAACCTCCAACAGATTGTTTGTCTAGAATAAATAAAAACACAAACACTAGACAAACAATATTAGTTGTAAATTGTTTGTTAAAACCAGTATTTTCAATGCGCGAGGCGCAATGCGGAGCGCAAAGTCAATTTACGCGCACATGCGCAAGGCGCAATGCGATGCGCGCGCCCGAGCGAAGCGAGGCGCACTCCAGACCACAAAAATTTTAAAAATATACAAGATGCATGAAAAAATATATATTTGTGAAATTTTACATAGAAAATGTCAAGGACTCAAGTTTCACAAATATATATTTTTCTTGTAGCTACAGTAACAAATTAACGGTAGCTACAGTAACAAATTAATACTTAATTTTGCATAGAAATTTTTTTCGGTGAGCATATGGCAGTACAGGAAAAAAAAAGAAAAGAGGAATCTGGAAAATCTAACAATTAACAGTAGCTACAGTAACAAATTAATACTTAATTTTACATAGAAAATTTGTGAGCATATGCCAGTACAGAAAAACAGTTAAAAAAAGAAGAAAAGAAGAATCAGGAAAATCTAACAATTAACAGTAGCTACAGTAACAAATTAATATTTAATTTTTACTGTTCAAATGCCTACGGTACAAAAAAGTAAAAAGAAGACCGATTGAGCTCACCGACCTAAAAAAAGGAAAAGAGGAGAAAGGAAAGAAAACTGGAAAACAACATCGAAAAAAAAGGAGAAGCGATGAAAAGAAAACTGGAAAACATCGAAAAAAGAAAGGAGAAGAACCTGGCTACTAGCTGCTGTCGATCGTCGCTCGCCGTCACCGATTGAGCTCACCGTCGCCGTCGTTTGTCGTTGTGGCTTGCTGCTGCCGAGTGGAGACCGTAATAATGGGTATCGGGAGAATGAGCGACAGAACCCTAGCCCAACTTCTTATTTTCTTTTCGGGTTTAAGTTTGAACCGGGTTTGTACCCAATAACCCAGCTTCCTCCTTTGCTTACAGCTTTCTCCTTTGCTTTCCTTTGCTTTCGAGTCTGAGGCGCACGCCTTGCGCTTGCGTCAAGCGCTGCAGGGCGCTCCCCAGGCGCGCGCCCGACGAAAGTGAAGCGCCCCGCACCTGCTGCGGGGCGCTAATCCACTGCGCCGAAGCGCTTCGCGCCCGAGGCGCGCGCCTCACTGCGCCCTTAAAAACACTGGTTAAAACATCATCATAACAAAAAGGCCAACAGTCTTTAGTTTTATGTTAAAAGAGATGAATTCGTGGTGTTTTTTTGCAATTTAGCTTGTATTAAATTTCTGATTAATTCTTTCCTTTCTCGTTAATAGCTGAAACACATTTCAAACTATATTTATTTTGAGATAGAAGCAAATTGATTATTCAGACTGTTACAATATGGAGAAAACATAAATGATATTTATCATTTGTATAATTCTATTGATGTATATATGGTTTGATGGTAATTCATTCTTCATGTACGACATTATTGTATATTTTTCTTTCTGTGTTGTTTTTTATTTCGGGCACAAAAATATTGATGACTTTTGGCAGATTACTACTTTCCATTTTACAATTTGTAATTTTTGTATTTTATTTCAACCCTTATTGCCTGCTTTATGAGACAGTTATTTTCCATTAAATATCTTGGTGATTCATTTTTCTGTTTCAGCCACCTACAAGCTACAACGTACCAGATTTCCATACTCGTGCTTTACAACACAGCAAGGTTAACTTAACATGGGAGGAAGATGAACCGAATCGTACAAAGTTTTTGAAACGGAAGTTCAACACTGATCAGGTTGGTAGTATTATGACCTTTCTAGTTGTATCCCAAATGTTTCTATTTAACCTTTTCATTACTTCAGCTCCTTCTGTTTTAAGTCAATAAATTTAAGTCTTGTCAGGAATTATGATCTATGATACAATAATAAATCATGATTGTTGGTTGTGGACACGAGTGCCGTTTTGACACATAAATCGAGTATTAATCATGAAATATTTGATTAGTCTATAGCTCGGGCCAATATACATGGTCATTTGGGATTATCCCATTTATGCTATATATAGGTTTTTCATGCTTGCATATGAAAAATCAGAAGTCATGAATTAATGACAGAGAAATTAATTTCGTGGTTTTTTAACATAAAAGGTGTGTGCTATTGACTTATAAATGATTTTTGATAAGACTGATTGATTACTAAATGTTTCCTGCATATCCTTCACGAAAAGGTAGATAGAGCACAACTAGTGGTTGGGCATTGTAAGCTGCATGAGCATGTGTGATGTGTCAGGGACACAAGCATCAATATTTTTCCTGGGAGAAGTCATTTCTGTTTCAGGTATTTGTATGTATGTTTGCATGATGCTTCTGCATGCTTGTGCCTTTATTTGTTTTGCTCATTTTCAAAACTAGTTATCCTTAAAGATGTTTTGAGGTTTTCTTTTACTCATGTTACAGTTAATTCGATCATATGATCTGTTGGAATGTAGATATTCAGTTGTGACTAGTTGTACCTATAAGCTTTTTTTGTGAGCTTACATCGCGAGTCTTAGTAGAACTGAAGATTACCGGTTCTATTATCGTAGCGGTTTTCTATTTATAAAACTTCTGAAATAAAGCTGCTTCATGAGTATCATTTTAAAGGGCTTTTTTACTTTTAATCTAGCAAAAGGAATATCCATGTTTTATGCTGTTACTGATGTATCCTTCTTTATCTCGTATAGCTGGATGAGTTGAATGAATACTTGGCTTCCAGTGATAGTGATGCTAGTGACGAGGAAGAAGAAATTGATGGCAGTGAGAATGAAGATGCAGGGGTTCCGCCTGATGGTAAATCCAAAAAACATATGCATAAAGAAAAGTTACGAGCGCTTCTACTCTCTGGAGATGGCTCTGGTTCAGATAAAGATGATGATGAGGACAATGACCAAGAAATGGAAATCACATTTAATACTGGCCTTGAGGACCTAAGCAAGCGCATTCTCGAGAAAAAGGATAAAAAATCCGAAACTGTCTGGGAACAAGTTCTTCGAAAAAGAAGCGAGAAGAGAAAGGCAAGGAAGAATCGGTCAAAGTACTCTGATGATGATGATGATGACAGTGATTCCGATGTCCAAGAAGCAACTGATCAGCCTGATGATTTCTTTATGGAAGAAGAGCCTTCTGATTCTGATGCAGAGGTTGCCGATAAGAAGAAGGGAGATTCAAAAAAGAGTAAAAAAGGTAAGAGTAGTAGAAAAGAGAGGAAGAAGTCTCTGGATGAATACAAGGACCAGGAAGTGAGTAAAGCAGAACTGGAGCTGTTGTTCGCGGAAGATCAAGATGGTAAAGGTCAGAATGCAAAGGGGTACAAGATCAAACTTAAGAAGGGCAAAGGAAAGAAGGGGAAGGAAGAATCTCTTGAGGCTAAGTTACCTGATGTTGATCCCTCATCTGATCCTCGATTCTCTGCCTTATTCAATTCTCATCTCTTTGCCTTGGATCCCACTGATCCACAGTTTAAGAGGTATAGTCTTGAAGTCCTCAGTTTTAAAACGATGCTTGATTCCACATCTAACCTAATAAAATTGGAGCACACCACTGTTTTGAATCGCTGTCTTCTATCTATCTATATTAGGTGATTGTGATTCATTTCAAATCTAACATTTACCAAGTCTTCCTGTTATTTGTTCCACTTATTACTTTGTAGATTAGGCTCCCAAATCTTTGTTGATTCTTTATTCGACTCTAAATCTGCATATCAGAACCCCAAATCCATTAAGTTGTTTTTAGGTAAGACCCCTAAATCTGAAGTTGTTTTGAACATGACCCTCACATCTATTAAGTTTTGTTAAATAGACCCACATGTACTTCAGAAATATGAAGTTTCTTGTGGGTCTAATATAGAATTAACAAAAATTTGAGTGACAAATTACTTTTTGTTTAAGTGAGTTGCAAATTACAATCGTCTCATAAGCAATATATGTCTAGATTAAAAGTACAGATTCCTCACGGTGGAAATGATTCAAACCCACATCTCATTGCCATTTGAATTCATATTGAAACCTACTCTCCTTTTTCTGCGCTTCCACAGGAGTGCTGCGTATGCTCGTCAGAAGCTTGGAAAACAGAAGATAGTGAAGAAAACAGGGCAATCAGAAGAAACCGCAAATGTACCGGAACAAGTTGAGATCTCTAATAACGATCCGAAGAAGAAGGAGAAGTACGAGTTGTCATCAACTGTTCAGTCACTTAAGAGAAACCTGGGAAATCTGAAAAAGGGTACCAGGAGCAGATGATTTTCTTTATTTTTGTACCTTCATCTTATACTGGCTGTGAAGAATTTTGTTAGCTTCGTAGTATTTTATTTCCGGCCTGTTATTTATGCTGTTGTGAGATGCGGCTGCTTTAGTAGAGGAAAATTGAGAGCAGGGAAAAAAAAAAGAGAGGCTCGGGTTATGTTTTTCTGAGTACAAAATACAGGGTGCGTGACTGATTTTGTACTATGTTATTATTGTACTCAAGCGTGTATTTGTGAATTGTTATTGACACCCATTTCTATTTTTCAAAGATACTTCAATGGTGTATATTTAAGGTAGAATAACACGTAGGGTATATTTATCTTCTTCTTACGTTGAACTTCTTACAAACTAGAAAGAGATTTTACTATTTGACGACCCTTTTCAAAGAACAAAGATACTTCTTCACAAGGATTGATGCGAGGTGGCACCAGGTAATTCGAATAACAAATGTATTTACAACACGGTACGGTTCCGACCGCTTTGTTGAAATGCTTTTCTATTTGAACTTAGTAGTAACTCGGCTTTGTTACACAAAATAGACTAAAATTGGGCCCGGTGGGATCAATTTTGACTAGGTTTTGAAAGCTAAAAATGACATAAGAAAACACAAAATAGACTAAAATTGGGCCGGATTTGAACATGTCCCAGTTTTAGCGAGTTGTCAAACAATAACTCCTACGTGTTTGTGTTAAAGGTTGTTGTAGTAACAAATGTATACACCAGTAGCTGCATCTCAAATTGCTGTATCTAAGTGTTGTTGCAACTAAAATGTAGTTATAACACACTAAAATTTTAGTGTGAATGCAACACCCATATTTTTAGCAATATTTTAGAGTTACAATAATATTTTTGTGTTGGAACTACATCTAACCAAATACTAATAGATATAGTTGGAACAACTACATCAATCCAAACCCATTCATGATGTTGCAACTACATTTGTAGTTTCAACGCCCTTAACCTAAACCAACCCCACTTTAAAGAGGAGCTTCTGTTTGGTTAAAAAAAAATTCTCTTGAAAGCCTGCCAAATAGTCACTTCTTTGGTAGGCTTTAAGCAAAAACGTCTCTAAAAAAGAGGATTTTGCTTGAAAGCATACCAAAAAGTGACACTTTTGACACTTTTAATAGGCTTTCAATGGCTTTCCCTCAAAAACAGAGAACCAAACAGCCCCTTGTAACGCGCAATGTTTTTGGACCCAATTAGTATGGACCTGCAAGGACTTCATTAATGCAGCACAAAGCTACAAACAACAACCAGAAGTATAGACTACGTGGCTCTGTTTAATGGCCGACGTTTCTCCCACCGTCACGCAACCAGCATGTGCTCGGTTCGTACCGAGCAGGGCCCCACCGACCAAAGGGCAAAGCCCAAGCCCGTTTCTAAAAAGAACGCCAAATCAACGATCCGCGGTCGGCCACGTCACTATCGGCCATTTATTCGCACCTGAAAGCGGCAGGACTCGGCGTCAACACGCATTCCTCGGTTCCTTTCTTCTGTGCTGTAATTTTTGGGCGGCCCCGTCATCACACGAATAAAGCAAAAAAAAAAAAAAAAAAAAAATTCACGAAAAGAAGAAGAGCTTTGCATACTAACCGCTGGCAATTCCATTTTTGCGAAAAATGTCGTGTGCTCGCACATTACCGACATACTTTAGCTTATAATTGAGTAGATTTGATCGGTGTCTTTTTCATCTTACAATCTGATGCGATGCAACCATGGATCAAGCATTTGCTCGCGATTGTCACATGCAAATCCTATCAGCACAGCCTACACGCAAATGTGACGTTGTAATCATAAGAATCGCGGAGATATCCAAAAGATCATTCTTTTTTTTTGGTATGGATCCAATAGCTCATTTGCGTGTGGACTGTTCAAATGGATTTTGTACTCCTTAGAAGAGCGTGCGATTTGAAATAAAAAATAGTTAATTGGATTGTCATGTTTGACAATAAAACCATGATTTCCAATTAGTTAAGGAAAACATATTATACTCTTTTATAAATTAGATGTGAACTTTAGAATTTTACATAATATGAAAGCTTGTCATTATCCATCTAATGTCTAAAAGTCAAAACTTTTCAACTCAACATGATTTTACAACACAAATTTCAGACAAAGCACGTTTAAATTTAAACAAGAGTGATCGGTAAGCCTCGCGTTTAATCTTCGTTAAAAGTCGAAGGGATAAGTAATTTGACCAGTCATAGAGACTAAAAGGACTAAATTTGCAAATAGTAACTGTACAAGGCTTGATATGAAAAGCTCCAGGAAATTAAGAAGAAAATATCACTTTTAAGGGACGCCTCCCTTGAAACGGGCTACGAATATTCTTCATTCTCTTTCCTCCCGCTCCTCCCTCTCGAATCGTCGGGGATAAATCGACTCGAAAAGAAATCGAGGAGAAGAGAGGGAGAAGCCCTAGGCTGGGTCTCGTCGGATTCTTGATCCCATCAATTTCGGCGAAAATTTCGGTTTTTGAGCTTCTGAAATCAATCAAGGTTTGATCCGAAAAGCCTTCTGTTTCTAAATTTTCTCTATTTTCTCGTTATGATTTCGATAGATCCTGTGTATTTAGGCCAATGTGTAATCCTTCGTGAGTTTTATTTGTCGATTTTAGGGTGCAGATAGATTCAGGCGTTGTGAACAAATGCAAAAATTTTGATGTTGATCTGCGCATTAGCGGCTGCTGTCTTGTTTTGAGCCATTTGGGTAACGTTTAGGATAAAATTGCGGGAAAATATTAGGAACTAAGGATATTAAGGATGAGAAAGGAAAATAGGTGGAAGTAGTGTACATAATTTCATAATGTTCAGGATTAGTGACGTTTAATGAATTTTGTAGCAAAGTAGCTCTGCTTTATGCAATCAATTAGCTTGCTTTATACAAGGCCTTGTGTTACACTCCCCTCGTAAAGTGAGACATAATCGATTGAGAGATGGTTTGGTCAAATGCAACGGAAGGTATTCAATGCCCCCAGCCACTTAGGAGAAGCGATAAGATTATAGTTATGCATTCACTCAATCTAGCCCACCATTGAACCCAATAAATTCATGATGTAATATTCATGGCTAAATTTCGAGGATGGTTGTCTTTAAATGCTTGGTTTGAGTTAAACTCTTCTGGCATTATATTTTATGAGCAAAGATTGTTGAGTTTAGGCACCACAATATTACCTGGACTTTTTTGAAGCACTTTCACGGCAATTTGAGATTTCAAAAGATCAAAGAAAATGTCGTAAAAGGCAAACGCATGAGGGGAAGCATGGGGATTTTTATGAGAAGAGACCATGACACGATGCATGATGTAAATGATCATTCCTTTTTTTTCAGAAATCAATCTTAGTTCATACTTTCATGATGGATTAAATTATTAACTTAGTTACTTCATCTCAAGCTTAATGTTTGGGTGATCATAAGCTGTTGAAAACCTAGCTTATCTTTCTTGTGAATTAAATTTCAGACTCAGTGTTCGTTCTGCTGGTCTTATTTTGTTTCCTTCTATCTGTGGACTACTAAAACTTTTGTTGGATTAAGCATGAATTCTCTGGCAGGGGCCATGGTTCTTTGTATCATTCAATGCTTGAACTAAGACTTTCAAGTTCTATTATAATCGACCTTTACAATGTTTTTCCTTTTAACCAAGACCAAGTTTCTTTCTTATTGTCTTTCTTTCTCTGAGAAGGGAGGTTTGAGTAGACTTGTGAGTGAAGCATATTGGCTTATGGTGTTTCTTCTCAACAGCTGAACATGCGGAATAACTGGTTCCTTTTCTCAAACTTGGATATAGATGGCGGATACAGTAACATCTTCCCTGCAGATCCAAACTTATCACAAGGTCTTGGGGCAGAATTTTTGTCCCATTCCCACCATTTTATTACATCTGGAAGTTTAGCTCTTCAAGAAACATTTAGTTGTATCTCCAAGTACGCCGGCACATTATTTATATGGTCCTCTACCAGGTCAAATTTCAATATATTTCGTAAACTGTCAAGAAGCTCACGGGGCTCAATGCCTAGAAGTAACCTATTTCCTACACAAATTAAACATGCTATTTCTTCAAGACAAGAGCCATTTTGGTTGCATTTTGCTGCTGGAGCAGATGCTGGATCTGGCATTCCAGTGTTTTTTGCTAAGCTTGCATCATCCGCCATAAGGTTCTTAGAAAAGCAAGTTCAGAAACATCAGGCTTTTTCTGTGCTATCATTAGCTGCAGCTCTAATGCCGCCATTTGACAATTTGTAAGTGTTCTTAACTTCTTGGTTAATGGCTAATGATATTATACAATTTCTCTTATATCTATGCTGGGGCAACATCATAAAACTTTGATATCGCCTAGAATGTTTTATTTGACCTTAATATGCTGCTTACTGGATTACTTAGTAGCATTTTGGGCAGTAGTCCTTCGTTGTTTACTCTAATTCTTTCTGTTGTTGATGGGCATAAGATCTTCAAAGGTACTGGCTGGTTCCATCCCAATGCAAGACCATGTTGATCAAGTAAGTGGGACTATGGATGATTATCGAGCTTGTGATAGTCTTGATATAACAAACACATTCTGGGCAAGAGATACAATTGAACCAAAAACTGGCATTACCTTCCCCTCAGTCTTAGACAGTTCTTTTTGTGGCGAAGATGGTTCTCGTTTAACAGCAGAGGTATTTCCCCCAAAATCTGTTACTTGTCTATAATTGCAATTCATTTTTGGTTGATTGGTATTCAATTACACACATGAAGGGCAGAATAAGTAGAAAATTAGCTGCGGAATACAGCCCAAATTCGCATTACTTATTTGATCATGTCCAGTTTCCTCTGTTATGATTTTATCATGTTCATAGGAAATGACGGCCATCAGTCCACTTAATTTGTTTACAATTTTGGTCTTTTAGTGGGAGCTCCTTTAATTATTAAATACTTATTGTCCACATTTTAATCATTGCTCAAGAACTGTAGAGAAAAGATGAGAAATATGCTAATGGCGTATAAAAGAATATGCTGAGAATACTTTAATGATTTCTTGTGTTGGAAGTTTCACATGTTTAACTAGCGGGTTATAAATAAAAAGATTTACATAGCTCTTGTTTAGACTGATTGACATGGTATCTGAGCCATAGACGTTATAGGATTTCCACAAGTCAAGTCAATGAGTCCTCTTCAACTACCTCTGACCTGGATCAAGCCTCTATGACTATGTCCAACCATGTTCGAGCCCACTCGGCAGAGCTTCAACCCCTCCAATGTTTTCACCTCCATTTACAACATGCCATCAACCCCGCCATTGTCTGAAAACGATCCTGCCACCTGCAACGTTGCCTGCACCTCATATTGCAGCCTTGATGTATGATGAGGAAGAATTTGGTTGATGTTTTGTGTTTGAATTTAGTTTTGAAGATTGCCACTTGTTTCTTGCTACTTTATCCCATGGCTCATGTAGACATTGTTCTACAACTCTTTGATTTGCATTGCTTAGTTCTCATGTTTGAGGCTGGATACAAAGCCATACCATGGTAGAGGACTTCTAATGTTTGTTTGGCTAATAAATGATGTTTCACCTTCACTTTGAAGGAGTTGTACTTTGTACTCTCAATTTTTTGTTTCCATTTTCTACTGTTCTGTTATTATATTTGTGAAGTTATCATCTAGTTGCTGCTGTTACTGTTTGTCATATTGTTTGCCGGATGTAAACCTTTCTGTTTATGTAGCATTTTATTAACTTTTAGTTGTCATCAATATAACATGTTCTTACTCTTCTTTCAGGTTCTTGTTGGAACTGGTTCTAGGAGTATGAGAGTAATAAAAATAAAAACTTTGAAGGTTTATGCATTTGGATTTTGTGAGTATATCTTCTTATTCTTCATGTTGTTGCTTGTTTCATTTGCTGATAATTTTCTTAATGATTTGCCAGTTATTCATATCTGAAGTTTAATTATAGTCTTAACCTCCAATGACAATCTTTAGAATGTCATCCTTAAGGGTCTCTTTTGTTAATCTATTTCTTTTCATGTAGATGTCCAACCCAGTTCACTCTGTAAGAAATTGGGTCCCAAATATGCCAATGTGCCAGTCAATGAGTTGGAAAACCGATCAGAGTTTTTTGAAGATATTCTCAGGTATTCCCTTAGGAAATTTTCTTTGCATTATTATCATTTAATATCCTTTTTCGGTCATCTTTAGATGGTATCATGTCTCAGTTCTCAGCATCAGCCTTTTTCTTTTCTTATCTTAGGTTAATTGCAAATCCACCTCCTGTTCTATAGGGGGTTAGCCATCTTAAACTTTTTTTAGCAGTACTTAGACCCCCATTATTTGTACCCATCAAGTGGGTGTCACCTGATGTGATGTCAACAACATGTTACAAAAAGATCCCTGATATTTTAGTGGGTCACATAGAGACCCCCTATTCTATTATAGGTTTTTGAAGATACAGATTTTATAATACTGGTGCATACTGCATATAGTGGTGAAATAGCTCCTTTTTTGGGTGTCAGGGGGTCTAAAATGAGGAAGTTCAGAAGTAACAAATAGCTCACCTCTTATATTACAGGGGATGTGTTTCAATTAACCCCTTTTCTTTGGTAATCAATGAACCATAGTGGTTTTTTTTCCATTAAAAGCTAGATAGTTTTTATTATATCTTTGTGGGAACTAGATCTGTGATCAGTGAACAGTGTTAATTTATCTATTTACTCCTTCACATGCTTGAATTTATTTAAATGTAACACATTTTCATTGATAACCATGCAGGGAGGATATTCATATGACTGTCAGGTTGGTGGTTAATTGCAATGGGCTCAAAATCAGTACTGTACGAGAGTAAGTGACCATTCTATTCTAAGAAAATTTTGAATGGTTTTTCATTATTTTAGATGCCACTTTCTAATAGTCAGTCTGATATGCTCTATAATATCCTTTGCTGTGAAGGAAGTTTCTTTTGGTGGTTTTCATTTCTTGACTGTACTTTTGCACCATGTTTTTTGCAAGAATAAGTTCTTACAATTGCTAGGATTTGTCATTATATGCTTTTTTGTGATCAGATAAATGTCCTTCATTAAAGCCTCAAATAGGAATTTACCAAATCTGTGCAGGATAAATTAAAATAGCACCTCCAAAATGGCAATGTTAGGTTCAGCTCTTCAATCCATATGGTACTATATGACAAATACTTCACAACATGACAACAACCACTAACTTGTTATTTGGTTCTAAAGCGCAAAACTTAGTAGCCATACAAGTTACTGGCTTCTGGACACAGAAATCACTAACTCTCAATATAGCTAAGAACGGGGGGGGGGGGGGGGGGCCTAAAGATATTACAAGAATAGGAACCTGGTATTGCTTGGGAAGTGGAGAACAACCTGTAGCTGATCATCTTAATCGCTGGTGTTTTCTTCTGAAAAGATGTTGCGCTTTTCCTTGTGGAAGGCTTAAGTTAGTGGTTTAGAATGGTGTGAATTGATCCTGGCATGTTATCTAGGTGCTCATTTTGAGTACTTTATGCAACTATGGAACCTGTTAACATTTATCCTTGCTTTTCCTAGGTTAAGGCCCATTATGTTTCTCATTATTTATGACGCCTTTTATATTAGACATCACTGCGCGCACGAGCTTGACAACATTGCCATGTGACATTCTCAAATGATTTATTGCAGTGCTTTTGAGAAATCGCTCCGGGCTCGGTTGCAGAAGGTAACTATTACTGCACTGATCTACCAGATTTGATACATGCTAGCTGTTTCTAAATATTCTATCAGATGCATTGTGCTGACTTCTTCCTCATTCGTAATTAGATGAACCCTGGCACAGATTATCATTGCCTGAGAGCATTTGGTTCTTATTTCCAGAAAGAAATTCCATTACCTGTGGTAAGCTGCATGTTTTCTGCATTATCAACTATCATGCTGAGGATACTTATCATGCTTACAGTAAAAGTATAAATTTCAGGGCACAACTATTGATTTTAAACAAACAGTAGAGGGCCAGCTGATAACAGAAAGTGAGTACTACTGGCTAAGTCTTCGTGCTTTTCCTTCTTCTTTCCTCTCATTTATGTTGAGTCTTGTAAATGATGTTATATGCAGTTGGTGGTAATCTTATTGGTGCCGTCCACAGCAAAGATTTGTGCAGTAAGTCGGATACTTTCTATGTTAACTTTAAAGTTTATGCGTTTATCATTGTTTTTCTTGGAATCTACTTTTTTTCATGGGTTACCCAAAAAAATAAAGTTCTTTTGGCTTCCCAAACTTCATAATCTCAGTGTCATGAGATTGTGAAATTAATAAGTTATAAGAGGCTCAATTGTATGACTGTTCCTGTAGATTTTAACCACCCAATCGAGCATATTTCACTAATCTAAACCATTTTGACCTAAATATATTGGTATATTAGCAGAACTTTTTGTTTTGGGTGACGGGTTCCAAATCATAAAAAATGTTTGGTTGACTTTCCTGTCTCACATCAAATTATGAATAATGTGTAGTCCATCAGATGTTTAGGGTCCGTATCTTACTTTGAACATCAGATATTTAGAGTTTCCAAAACATAAACATATGTTCCACCTATATTTTATGTTTACCTGCATATAAAAAAGCACTCCAAAGCTCGCTCTTAAGATTTTGAATGCTGAATGCTGATTGAATATGCAGGGGCTTTCTTCGACATGTACATTGGTGATGCTCCTGTATCAGTGCAAACCAAGCAGGAAATAGCACAAAATGTTGCAGGCCTAATGAAGAGATGCTAAGATAAGAATCAACTAGTTTGAACGGCTGTCTCGGTACCAAGCAGACGATTCTTTTATACAATCATAATATAGAGATAGAATCAGATTTAAAAGTAGACGGTATATATCATGTAAAATAGAGAGATGAACAATATCATCTCGTATCCATGTCCAAGATTTATCCATGTAAACTTTGTTGCCCGTGTGAAAATAGAAGTTTAGCCTCACTGGTTATTAGAAAAGAGATTCGTACTTTGAAGTAAGCGCCTCGGCTTTGGATTCCCGTGTTTGTTTACAAAGGGGCTGCAATAAACACTGGTGATTTGCTGCACTTTTTTTTTTTGGATTTTTTTTTTTTTTTGGGGTGGGATTCGTACTTTGAAGTAAGCGCCTCGGCTTTGGATTCCCGTGTTTGTTTACAAAGGGGCTGCAATAAACACTGGTGATTTGCTGCACTTTTTTTTTTTGGATTTTTTTTTTTTTTTGGGGTGGG